TCGGCGGCCTGCGGGAGAAGCTGGCCCGACAGGGCACGGTCGACGTCCGCTACATGATCGTCAATGAGAAGGCGCCACTCTCCCGCGCCATGTTTGGGGATCTGGAGCGCCAGGCTCCGCCGGGCGTCCCTGTCTTCCAGCCGGAGCCGGAGGAGCCCGACGTCTGGCAGGTCCTGGGGGGAGACAAGGATGACTTCCTCGTCTACGACCGGTGAGCATCCCCCATCTCAGCTGAGGCTTTCCTGGGGTGTTACAGAGCATTTGGTGGGCTTCCCAAAGCTTCCCCCTCAGCTGGGCCTAGAGGACCCCAAAATCCCCCACCTCGAGCCTGGCCATGGCTTCTCCCCGCAGGTGCGGCCGCCTGGCTTTCCACATCCAGCTGCCCTACAGCTTCCTCCACTTCCCCTACGTAGAGTCGGCCATCCGTTTCACCCACAGCAAGGACCTCTGCGGCAACTGCTCCCTCTACCCCAACGCCACCCAGGAGGTAAGGAGCAGGGATGCTCGCTGGAGCTGGGCTCCCTTCTCTCCCCTGGCATTGCACATCAGGAAAAAAAACCAACCTTATCTTCACGTCGGGGACAGGTTCTGGGCTGGCAGCCGCCCTTGTCCATGGTTGAGAGGGAAGGTGATGAAAGGTCTGGAATAAGGGCAGTGAAATAGGTCAGAACTTTCAGGCTGAGAAGGGGGGGACTAAAGAGGTCATAGCCGAGATCCGGAAAAGCTAACCGGGGTCACTGGCTGTTCTGATATGAGAAAGGGACAGGCGATGGACCTGGAGGTGGCGAGCTCAGAGCAAAGAAAAGAGTGTAGCTCTGGGCTCAGCAGGCGATTAGTCGCTTCCTAGGAGAAAAATCCATCCAGAAATACTAAATGCAAAGCCCCTTCCTGGCTCAGGAATTTCCTGGACCACAGACAGCTTGAGCCAAGGGCTGTCGGTACAGAGGCCTGTGCTCTGCGTGCTCCGGCCTCTCCTGTCCTCCCTGCACCCTGGGTCAGGGCTGGAGAGCCTTTGCTCTGACCCACGCAGCTTTCTGTATGACGGATGCTGGTCTGCTTTCATCCCACCTCACAGGCGTGCTTGCAGGCTCACAGGGGGCACGCGTGCGCCTTCTCATACTGCACCAGCCCTTCTGTCCCTTTTCTCAGGTTAACAGCACCATGGAGGTGCCTGTAACCCTCAGCCCGCTCCCCAAACAAGAGGAGAAGGAGTCAGAGACCCCCATCCACCAGCACAAGCCCCTCCATCCTCACCACCACCAAGAGGTCAGCAGCGAGAGAGCCACAGACCCAAGTGGGGACCGCAAACCTGCCACCCATGCTCACCACCACCGTGGAGACCATGGCCAGCCCCATCATGAGGGGAAGAAGCAGAAGGAGGGAAATGAGCACTAAGCCAGGCTGAGCAGTCTTGCAGAACCCAGTAGTGTGCAGACCACGCTAACTTGCTTCGCAGAGGCATGAAAGGACTTGTTTTGGGCTGCTGGTCACCAGCAGCGTTGGTATAACACCCCCCCTTCCATCATCCCCCATGTGGGTCATACTCCCACGCTGTGACCAGGGATGAAAATCCCCCTCAGACACCCAGAGGTGCTGCGTTTTTTGGCCCCGGGGATGAGTTCTGACCCTTCCTCTGCTGCTGCCTGCCCTTCCATGCTCAATGAAGCCAGTGGTGCAAACCGGGAGGTCCCTGGTCACTGCTGGTGGACACTGCATGGAGCAGCAGGGCAGGGGTGGAGGGGACAGAACTGGGACGGGAGCAGCACTGCTGGCATGCTTTGCCCATCCTGGCACCCCTGGGTGTCCTGGCACCACTGGGTGTCATATCTGGGGAGCGAGGGGAGGAACAGCACGTGCCCCGCAGGATGCGATCCCAGGGGATGGGGGCACTAGGAGTGGTGGGAGGTCGCAGCTCCCCATGGCCCAAAACCTGTACCCCCATAGCTGTCACATCCAGGGGACCCTCCAGGCCTTGCACACGGGTATGTGCAGTGGTGATGGGTGGCCGCAAGATGGTGGCCTTGTCCCCTCTTGGAGACCTATGGGCTGTATCCAGGGTCCCCAGCCCTGGGAGGATGGGGTGACAATCCTGGGGTCTTTCCTGGGGGAGAAGCGAGATCGGGGGGGGATGCGGATATCCAGAGCGCGAATAAAACCTCTGTGAAGTGAACCCTGCTCAGCTTGGCATCTGGTGGGGTCCCTTCCCCAGAGAGGGCGGGGGGCTTGCTCAGTGCTGGGATGGCCCCGGGTGTTTCTCTTGGCTCAGAGAATGACTTGGGGCTGGATGTGGACCCCATGAAGCAGAAACCGGTGGTGATTTGCATTCCCCTGTTTAGAGACCTGGAGGTAAAGGGGTTGAAGACCCAAGAGACCCCATCTCTTCGTACCTTCTGGTTACCTCCTGCCAGGATGGGCACCCAGGGCTTAGCCCTGTCCCAGGGCACGGCATTAACCCTGCACTGCCAGGAGGAAGTTTGGCTCAGCACCTCGATCTCTGGCTTGTGGGTGTGATGTTGGGGTACCTGCCCTGAGCTGCTGTTATGGGGCCAAAGTTCCCACTTGCAGCCCAAAGTCATCTTGGGCATCTTGTCCCCAGTGCAAGCATCTCGTGGGGATCTCTAGTCCTCAAGTAGTTGGGCTTCCCCCATGCCTGTCTCAACCCAATAGCCTTCGCTCCACCTCCATCCATCCTCCCACACAGCCCCACTCAACGCCTCCCCTGAACTCACAGCCCGAGTGGGGAGCAAAGAGATGTTTTTTCTGCTCAGCATTGTGCCGTGCCATGTGTGGTGCGTGTCCTGCTGTTGATGCCCTGAGCTGAATTTCTGCATCCCTCTGCCCTTTCTCTGCCCAGTGACTGGGGCAAGAGCGAGGGGGAAGAGGAGCTGTTCCTCATGGAGATGAGGGCAACAGGATCAAGGTGGGTCTTTCTCAGTAGCCACGGGGTGCTGGCTGAGACCCTGCTCCCCCTCCTCCATCTCTTGCTCCCTCCCTCCTCCTCCTCCTCCCCCTTCCTCCTCTACCTGCTCCCAGCAGCCCACAAGGGCACCTCTGTCTGCTGCTCCTGCCATCAATATTGAGGTTATCTTTTTCTTCTGGCAGCTGCTGTAATTGAAACAAAGCAGGCCGGGCCTCACGGGCTCCACTTCTCTCGCTCATTTTGCCGGTGCTGCCGAGACAACTAATTCATCTTGTCGATGTGTGGTTGGCCTCTTTTCCACCAGATCCAGGCAGAGCCCTCTCCCCACCACTGCTGGTGGGAGCGGTCTGTGTCCCCGCGGCGTGCTGCTGGGTGCTGCTCTGACCCAGCCTCTGGTCCTCCGCTTGCAGCATCTGGGTGCTGGCCACCAGCAGGAGATGCCAGCCGGGGGGGAGAGGTGCGAACTGGAAGGATGCTGGTGACTTTTATCTCATTCTTTTGCCTTCTGATGCTTCCTCAGCCCTTTTGTTAAATTCCCCATCCCTTTCTTGCACAGCTCCTAAAGGAGTCCCTGGCAAGAAGGTGACAGGTGATGAGTGGAGCATACACAGATTTGCATTCTCTTGCTGACGACCAGATCTGCAATGAGCGGTGGCAGATAGAGGGATCACGTCTGGTGCTGTGTGGGTAGTCCAGTGGCACTGTGCTCCACTGCTACCCTTTGGCTACCACCCAGCAGGCAAATTTCCAGCCCTGAAGGCTTGGGTTGGTATTTTGCTTTGGGGAGAGAAATTGAGGCATGGAAAAGGGCTGTGACACTATTTGGGTGAAGTCCTACATGTCTGAGTAATGGCGCAGGTTTAGGGTGAAGCTGATGCTGCTCCATATACTACTGTCCGAAGGCCTGAAGGGTTTGGGGGTGTTGTGACTGGGGCCCCCACAGCATTGCTCCCCCCTGAAAGGTGCCAGAGGCATGGAGATCTGCAAAACCTGTGTCAGTGTCTGCACTCCTGCCGTGCTGAGGGAGAGCTTTGCTCTGAACGGGGTGGACGAGAGGTGTTCTAGGGGGGTTAACAGGCTCTTCACATCTATGATGTCGCGGGGAGTGATGCTGTGAGTAGGAGTCAGAGAGCCCCAAGGAGTGCTCAGCTGTCAGGGAGGATGGCTCAGCAGGGCAGGGGCCAGGGCAAGAAACTGGGGCTGACTTCGGGTCCCGGCAGTGGGGCACCGCGGTACCCCATCATCCATGGCCGTGCCACCACCCTGAAGGAGGATACGCCGTTGTACCCTGGTGTCCATGGCTGTGCCACCACCCCGGAGGAGGACAGATCCCAGTCCTAGATCACATGCAGCCTTGGCCCTGCGTGCTGCTCCTGCTGAGGTCCAGGCAGAGCCTCTCGGGAGAGGGGGAACAGCCAGTCCTAATGTCAACAGAGGCCTCTTGTGCAGCGATGCTGTGTCAAGAAGAGGAATGGGTCCCTCCTCCTCCGCCCATTCATCTGGCAGCCGGGGCTGGCGTGCCGCCAAGCCAGGCTGCTTTGGAAACATTTCATTGAGGAGGCAGCTGAACCGAGGAAAACAGAATGAAAATATACAGAGAGATCACTGTTGTTAGGCAAAATAAATGCGGGCGGCTGCATTTCTGCCTCCCCAAGTCCAGCCCAGCCAAGCCCCTCTTGCTTCTATGGGGTGAGGGTGAATGCTGCTGCCTGGGGACGGCAGCCATGTAGCTCCCTCATGGGTTAGGAGCTGGGGAACGAGGGCTGGAGAGATCATCCCTGGCTTTGGCCAACTTGCTGACGTCCCTGGTGAGTAGGTCCAGACTCATCTTGGTGTAGCGTCACTCAAGGAGATGGGACAGAGCAGAGAAACAGCCGCAGAAATGAGCCAGCCCCAGTGATTCGTCTTCCCTGCATGGCCACCACTGCTGGCAGCTGGTGAAGATGGGGCTGAGGAAGTGCGTCAGATTTTGGCCTCATTCATTCCTGCCTCCCTCCCCAACATCAACCATGGGCCCTGGCCGGGCATGAGGCCACTGGCGGGACAGAGCTGAGCCCCCAGGTTTTCAAAGCCCTGCTGCTTGGAGTGCCCCATCTTTTGTCTGCGAGCAGAGGGAGAGTGGCGTCATCCCAAAGCAGTACCCAGGGACAGAGGGTGGAGGCACCTCTCTGACTTTTGAGCAAAGGTGCATTCAACAGGTTTGCCTCTCCCTTGTTTCCCCCGTAACCTCTGTCCTCCCTCCAAAGGCCACCAAGTCTTTCCCCAGCCATTTGCTGACCTATAAGAGATCCACCTCAGCTCTTTCCC